GGTTTGGTCCTGGAGCAGTAAATATAAATGGTGTTCTTGTGTCGTGGACGCAGAACATGTCTGAATCGCTCGTGGTCAACTGTCATCTAAATACAGATAAACCTCCAGTGGACAGTTTATAACTGAAGAATGAGCAACTTTCCAGTTATATACGTCTATCAACTGAAGCACACATCGTTTTGCCCTCATTGGCTTCAACAGGAATTTTGCCTCTGGCTTCAGCTGAAGGAAGAACAGGTCCCAAAAATTTGCTGTCTATGATTAAATCCAAGGTCTTAATCTCTGCTTTGAAGCAAATGCCCACTTTAAATTTAATCTCATTAGGAACAAAATTTCCTTTCCTTTCAAACAATCAAGTCTGCTCAGTGACGTGTCCTTGATCATAAGCTGCTTTCATTAACTGAAGGGTATTTATTGTTTTATTACCCTAAAATTTGTTTAGATTCATCTGCATCTACATACAAACAAATACTGTGTCCTTACTATTTTTCTCCACCTTGCCCAACCGGAGCACTTACCTGTAAGCACTAGCAGAGTCAGCTAAACTCTAGTCATCCCAGGATAATGAAGGGAAAAGAGCACTGCTTTGGCCAGTTTGTTTACTACAGCCCAAAGGAGCAGGTAGCATCATTTTCCAGCAGCCAAGAAGCCAAATCTCACACCGAGGGCACTCTCCTGGATGCCAGGCACTGTTGGTTTGAACACACCCTCAGCCTCAGGGTGTAACTGAGCTGAACTTCATCCTGGACCCGTTCCTGACACACCAGCGTGTGAATGCTACACTGATGTTTTTGCTCGCAAATGCTAACTAAACTTTTCCAACCTTTGCTGAGGTCAGATACAGCTTTTACTACTTAACAGCAATTGGAGTATGGCAGAATGTAAGCAAAGGGATAAGAACTATTTTTCTGCCCTGGTGGATGTGATCAGCTTACAAATATGATAAACAAATATCTGCCAAATAATACAAGTTAGAAACAACAAGAGGTCAGAAGACTGAGAAAAAGACTGGCAAGATTTAGGGAAATAATTTGAATTAGAAGGGAAAAAAATCATAGATATTACTAACTTAGCACTACTAAATTTTGATAAGTTTAAAATCAAACTATACCATTTAAATAATATTTTAAAAAAACTAAACCCAAATTTTCCTATTGCCTGAAACAATAGGAAAACACCTGCTTAAAAAAGCCAACCAGGTCAGTCATTACAGTGTCACTAATAGAGCACAACCACCTTGGCCAGCTCTCCTTCCATGATGGAAAAACACGTTCCTCAGCCAGCTGCTGTTCACAAGTAAAAACCAGCAGCTACCAGGCTTGGTCTGAAAAGTGCCCAGATGCAACTGGTCTCTCCAGGCTCCCCAAATCAGAGGAGCAGCAACAGCTCCCAACAGCCATATGGCAAGTCAAGCTGCAAGTGGAGGCCTCAGGAAATACCAGCAGTGGACCAGCAGCTCTTCCCCTCCACCAACACCGGAACGGCTGCAGGCAGGGATGGTAACACTTCTCCCCCCCTGCCTACTCACAGCTTGTTGTGGGACTGCTGCAGCCCCACTGCACCCAGGCCAGAAGTGGCCATTATCACCTTCTCCAGATGGCATCACCTGGTAAACTCCACAGCTCTGCCCACCCATGGCAGGTGGGCCACAAGACTGTGTGCCCTGAACTTCTGAAGTCTTCATCTTGAGTTCAAATGGACATCTATTTCTGCAGATCGTGCACGGATTCATGACCTAACATTTATACAAGCTACTCTTTCCTCATCTCAGAGCCTCTGATGCTTTCAAGAAAAGCTGAAAGCTAAAAGACAAAAGCAGATGGGGGAAGGAAGTTAGCAAATCAGCTTGCACTGATGACTGCTTAGGACTGAATAGTTAAAAATCTTTATAACAAATGTTCAGCTGTGAAAAGCTCCTCTTGAAGTTACATTGAAAATTGCTGTAAAAATAAATAGTAGCTGTAAACAGTAAAAAAAAAATTGAAGTATTTCTACACATATATTTCTGTATGTTTCATATGATACGTATATACATACATGTATTTCTACACATGCCCTTTCAGAAAGTCTAGATGACTTCAGTTATGTGGGGCCATTAAGATACCCTGGTAAGAGGGAGGACTGAAAAGAAAGTATGTTGTTTTCCATTATCAACTCAAAGTTTGATTCTATTAAAATTAGAAAACATAACAATGCACTTTTATGACTTTTACAAAGACTTATAGCTTGAACTATTTATAAGTTTGTTAATATAAGCCACCTAATTCGCACAAGACTCAAGGATGTGCATTCTCCAAGAATCAACAGAGCAAGTAAATGTGTATATATATGTACACAAATGCACTGTAGCGACACCAAGCTGAGTGGTGTGGTTGACACTCCTGAGGACAGGACGCCAACTAACCACCTGGACAAGCTGGAAAAGTGAGCCCATGGGAATCTCATGAGGTGTAACAAGACCAAGAGAAGGCAATGCACCTGGGTCAGGGCAACCCAGGGTATCAAGACAGGCTGGGGATGAATAGATCTAGAGCAGCACTTGCCGAGAAGGACTCAGGGGTGCTGGTGGATGAGAGGCTGGACATGACCTAGTAATGTGTACTCGCAGCCCACAAAGCAAATGGTATCCTGGGCTGCATCCAAAGTAGTGTGGCCAGCAGGTAGAGAGAGGTGATTCTACTCCTCTGCTCTGGTGTGACCCCCACCCACCTGGAGCACTGCATTCAGCTCTGGTGATCCCAGCACAGGAGGGACATGGACCTGTTGAAGGAAGTCCAGAGCAGGGCCACCATGATGATCAGAGGGACGGAGCATCGCTCCTGTAAGGAAACGCTAAGAGAACTGGGATTGTTCAGCCTGGAGAAGATGCAGCTTCAGGGTGACCCAACTGCATTCTCTTCATACTTGAGAAGACTCTACATGAAAGATGGAGAGAGACTATTTACAAGGTCATGTAGTGACAGGACAAGTGGGAATGGCTTCAAACTGAAAGAGAGTAGGTTTACATTAGATACTAGGAAGAAATTCTTTACTGTGAGGGTAATGAGACACAGTCACAGTGTGCTCAGAGGTTGTAAATGCCCCACATCCCTGGAAGTGCACGAGGCTGGGGTTCTGAGCACATTGGTCTAGTGGAGGGTGTTTCTGTCCATGGCAGGGAGGGTGGGAACTAGATGACCCTTAAGATCCCTTCCAACCCAAACCATTCTATGATACCAAGCAGAACAATAATGTGAAGTCAGTCCTATTTTCATACCATGTACTGTATCTGGAAGAAAAAAAACCCTAACACTCATTTTCCCAGAAGGATTTATGTAGACCACCTTATCTGTGTGTTTATCTTCCCTGCAAAAATACCAGGTGCTCAGCTGGGATCTATTTGTTTAAGATACCTTTTTTATGTGATACGGGAGCTAGAAGAAGTAACAGCGAGCACCATGTGACCAAGAGGTTTTCCACCGATTGGAGATGGGAAGTGCTAGAGCAGAGTGCATCAATTTTAAAATAAATCAAATCACATAATAGTAAGTGTATGCCCAGACAGTGCTATCAGTTTTAAAATAAATTGACTAACATAGAATATGCAAATGGACAGCTTCTGATAATGTAACCTCAAGCCCACAGTTGTTCCACTTGGAAAATCTACCACTTTTCTCCTGGCAATTAAATTCCTCCTTAGTATTTCTAAATTAGAGAAGGTTCTTGACCAGGGCCTGTTACCCCCCTTTTCACATGTATTTGATATTTATGTAAACACAATGCTGGATTACAGTCACCACTCATCTGCTCAAACCCCTTCCTACAATAAAAACCAAGACAGAAAGTCTGTTAACATCATTTGTAAATGCTAAATGTATTATTAAATATATGAGATATCTTTCCATTCAGCTTCTGAGCACAAGTCCTTTGTGTCTTACTTACAACACAGAGGTAAATAAGTCCTTTCATAAGTTGAGGTGTCTTTGCTAAATAAAAACATTTCTTTCAGCACTATCATTTTTCCACACCACCAGTACTACAGCTCTTCTGCTCTAAAAAAAACCAAACCCAACAAATAAAGGTTTTAGCATGTTTATACCCCATAACAAATAAACAGAGAATGTATTAGAGATTATTGGCAATACTCAATAAATGAAGTCTCACTACAGCATTTGATCCACTGTGCGTTAGTGAACTAAGATGACCGTTAATTAAGGAAAATAAGCAAATACTTTTGGTTTTATCATTTCAATTTTAATACAATTAAAAAAAAAGGTAAATGTTATGCATGGTAATGTTTATTAAACAATCACATTTCATTTAAGCATTAAAATGCAGCAGTCTGGAAAAGCTGCCAGAAACAATGTTTGGCTTCAGAAAAGGCGATTATGAAATTACTTCAAATAAAATTCAAATACTCTCTTGTCTGTTGATTAGTTGAATGCTTTAGACTGGAAGGAACAAAAAGTGCAAATCAGCTGAATATTACTTTCAAAAGTAAAGTCTTAGTGTCCTACAAGCAGTTACTGAAAGGCCTCACCTCAATCTTCATGATAAAGGACAAAATTCTCCAATTCCTATATAATTATAACTTACTGTAACATTTCAAACAATGAAACATTATTAGTAAAACAAAATTAATTAAAAAATATAACTGCAGTATTCTGCTTACCATGAGCACCTCTTTTTCCTTTCTTTTTCTTTTAATTCTAATTTGCTTGACATGAGATGGCATGAAATACATTCTTACTGCAAAACTGGAAACTTACATGGAACAATGCAGTTATACCACTTATAGGAACATGTTCTGGCTTTAGACAACTTACACCTAAACATATAACTCTGCATGAAAATCTAAAACTCATATTGTGGTATTCTGTTTCTCCTGATAGACCTTAAGCAAAAGGGACTCATCACAGAGTGGCTAAATGTTGAGCTGCAGTTTACTCTTGTGTGTTATCTTTATTGCAGGACTTGGAAAGGAAAGGACAAAGGTTAGTAAGTAACATCTGATATATGGGCAAATTTGTAAGTGTTTAGAAATCAATTTCTTTTTTTGAATTCAACACAATGATTCAGTGGCAGTTTCAAATAAACACAGGGTACCTTTCAGGCTCCTAAATCACTTCAGAATCACTTCATATACAGAGACAGTGAAAAACACTGATTATCATCCTATAAAGGCTCTAAGAATACATTAGCAATTTCTGAGTTGTTCTTGCAAAAATCTTTTAAAATATTGTGGAAACATGTTCTTATATGTGGGTACTGCTGCTCAAAACTGAACAGTTGGTTGACATCCAGACAACTATTACAATTTTCCAAAAGCAAAGCAGCTTATAAGCATAATAAACAAATTGTAATTTTTGCTAAAGTTGAGACCTAATTTAGTAATTTGTAGAATGACATTGTCAAATTGTGCAACACAAAATAATGTAGCCAACAGTAACATACAGGTACACCATTTAATATTTATTATATGCATTTTATATACATTATTTTTCAACAGCTGTACTTTTGCTATGTGGTACAATCTTAAAAATTTGCTGATTCATAGTTTGTAAAACAGAAACCTTACAAAACTCATCAAAACTCGCAAACTCATCAGAAAAGTTTTGTGGAAGACTAGAAAAAATACTTTTTTTTGTATTAATCATGCATTACACAAACAAAATTTTTAGTTACACCATAAACTGAAGCACATCTGAAAAAAATAAAAGCAGGGAGTAACTAGTCAAAACACAGCAGATTTATGGAGCTTGAATCAACTACTTTTGTATTCTATTTGAAATGCAAATAAAAATAATTTTCACTCCAAAGGTTCTGAAACAAGACTGGTTTTTTGGAATCAACTCCACTCCAGGTACTTAACCAGAGGAAACAGAATCTCTTGGTTTGCAACTTTAGAATTATCAAATGTCCCATTTTCTCATCTATTTTAGACTGTTCAAAGAGTGCCATTACAGATATACAGGGCCCTTTAATACACTACATAAAAGGATATAAAGACCAACAAAAAGTGAAATAAATAACAATAGGCCATTAGCAAGATGGGTAATCCTTGATAAATAAACTCGTAAATACAGTAAGATGTACAAAATATCACATAGTGATAGGATGCCAAGATTAATTATTTTTTTTAAGAGTTCATTTGGGGGGTGTTAACCCCTCTGTGTTTCATTTGAACACATTTTACAGTCCTTTATGAAGACAGTTATGCGATGATGATGATTTAGCATCCTTAAGCAAGGACTTAGCTGAGCTGTATTAGGCAAAAGAAGGGAAGAGTGTGGTTACACGGCAGCGGGTCAGTGAGATCTCTGTGTTTTAGGGTTCTATAATGCAGAAAAACATTATCAATACAATCTTGAGCACTGTTGTGACAGGCTAAATATATAAAAAGACTTATAAAAACTAGAATTTTATCCAAACATTTTGTGCAACTAATGCTAAAATATTTTAAGTTAAATTTCCTTTTCTTTAAAGCAAAATAAAAGTTTAAAAGGGGAATCTGTGGCATTCAACTGATAAACAGAAGATTACTAAGAGATGAAAAGAAAGCTACTCTTGGAGCTCACTTCCCCCCACAAGAGCACCACATTCCTAACCCTAAGGCAGCACACAGAGTCCAAAATAAAAGTCTTTTGTAAGATCAGACTCCACGTTTGCTTAAAGACACCTAAAGAACAGACATACGCTCAGTTCATATCCAGTCAAGGCTACAAATACTGGTTTTCTTTTTTGTATTTGTCCCCACCCCCCAAATACAGTAATTACAGTTAAATGAATGAGCCTGACATTGTTCAAGATGTGGTGGCTTTTCACCAACTTATACCTGCCCCACTTAAGAGCCTTCACCAGGCAGATCAGATGTAGTGTCTTATTGGTAACCTTATAATTGATGGCAGTGACGCATTCCCTCTTTTTTGTCCAAACAGACCTGCTGTTATGGTGCAGGCTTGTTCTGCTATGTCACACAAACACTTTGGCAAGGGCATCAGCTCCTGCACTGGCAATATATGCTTTTGATGGATGAAATGCTACATCATAAATTGATTCATCCAGCTTTTTCCTATGAGCTGTTATTTCTTGCACACATGTCTTGCTGTCCAAATTCCATAACCTAATGGAACAATCATGGCCTGTTTAAGAAAGAAAGAAAAGAAAAAGTTGTATTTGTCAGACACTTGGGTGCACCAGAAATGCAGAATTTATAAAGCATATAGAACATGAAAAAAACCCTTACTTCCAGACATTAAATAGATTCCATTAGGATCTACAGCTAGACTTGTGACAGCATCCAAGTGAGCAACCATAGAATGGATCATTTTACCTGAAAGCAGAATAAAGAGTGATTTTTCTGTGAAGTATTGTCTATTTTTAAAAAACCCAACCCATTCCCATTCAATGTGATATAGGATAACATGCTTATTTAGATTCCAATAATATCTGAATTATCCTGTTCCACTAGAAATTATGAAGTTTCCACTGCAGACTCTAGTACAAACATAAGGGCAAATGAGACACAACTCTCAAAAAAATATTCCCATTACAAGCAATCTTTTTATCCATCTGGCATCTTTACTGCTAGCAACGACAGTGAAGATCAAGCCTAAAATGACTGCATGAGAACCTCAATTTTCAGTCCCTTATATGTCTTAATATCTGTCCCAGCTGGGGAAAGCATTGACAAAGCTTTGTAAAACAAGACTGACTAAGTCATACCCAAAGGTCCATCTATCCCTGTCATTGCTAGGAGAGATGCTATTGGTGATAAACCAGGAAGGAAAATAAAAACAAGGCAACTGTAAGTGATAACTTGCCCAGAAGACTCTCCAGCTTCTAATAATTAACTGTTCAGTTATGTCACAAACCAGAAGTGCTACCTACACATTCAAATAGTCTTAAAGTATTTATTTTCAGTGACCTCCATTCCCGGGCTCTTAATAACACAAGTTGAGGTTTGCTCTTATAACTATTTCAATGGGTTTTTTTCCACGATACAGTACAGTTTTTCCCTATAAACCTTCTTTTCCCTCTTTCTTCCAGATCCTTTTCTATTCTATAAACACTTAATAAACACCTTAAGAATAACACAGGATTCCATTACTACAACAAATTTAGGGTTATTTTTTTCCCTAACAAGTACTAAGCAATGTTCTTTACTACTGAGTTGAAAACCGTAATGGATACATGCTTAGAGTTACAAGCATGAAAATGATGAAGAAAGGAAGAAAATGGCAGATACATTTTATAAACTGGAATAGCTCTAAATTAAAGGCAACTTTCTCAACTACCTCTGCCTGTTTTGAGTGTTTTCTGACTGCTGAAGTCACAATTGCAACAGATACCACTATTTCATAGAAAAGGTACTGAAGAGGTTTAATCTTAGAAATATAAACATTTCTGTTTTGCCTAAAACTACATCACTAAGTTTACTACCAATGGATTCTCCCTATGTCCATCCAGATTCCTTTAAACATTCATACATAAAAATTAGGTTCTCTTTATCCTTACCCGTTTTGTTGTCAAAAAATTTGATGTGTCTATCTTCATGTGCTGTAATAGTTACAGGAAGTGTGGGATGACTTACTACCTTGTTAATATGATTATTTGATTGTACACCTGAAAAGAAAAAATTAATCTGCCTTAAAGAGTGCTAAATTGGCAATATTTTAGCATTACGCTTTAAATTCCTGTATTAATATTACATAAATAATATTTTGGGATCAATGGACCTTCTAAGGAATAAATAACAGCTTCTTGCTTTACAGGATAGGGCTAAGTAAGGCAGATTTTAGCCTTCACAACTGCTCTGGGCAACCTGTGCCAGTGTCTCAACCCTCCTAGTAAAGAATTTCTTCCTAATATCTAATCTAAACCTGTTCTTTCAGTTTGAAGCCATTCCCCTTTGCCCTGTCATCACATGCCCTTATAACAAGTTCCTCTCCAGCTTACTAGTAGGCCCCTTTAGGTGCTGGAAAGCCCCAGTGAGGTCTCCCAAGAACCTTCCCTTCTCCAGACTGAATAAACCCAACCCTCTCAACCTGTCTTCATAGGAAAGGTGCTCCCACCCTCTGATCATCTTCGTGGCTCTGCTCTGGACTCACTCCAGTAGTTCCACGTCACTCTTATGCCAGAGGCCCCAAAACTAGATGCAGTACTCCAGGCACGGTCTCATGATAGAGGAATGGAGGGGCTGAATCACCTTTCCATCATGTTTGTTCCAAACATATTTAAACATCTAACCATCTTTCAAACTGAGTGATGCAGAAGAGGAGTTGAACTTTTTTATTTACTTACTATATTCACCATATAATAAAGTACCTCAGGTATTTTATATAAATTTATAGACATGGGTATTTATATACCATAGGTACCTCATCCAAGATGGATATTGAATACAGAAGAGCTCTGCTTACCAGATTCTACTTGTGATGAAAACATTACCACTGACTGGGATGTTTCTAAATCATAGATGACTGTGCTGCCAGTGTTAAAAGATGCCACCATATGAGCAGGGTCACAGCCTATAAAGTCAACTGATGTAGGTATTCCATGCTCTAGAAAGAGAGAGAACTATCTTTAGCAAGAATGAAACACTTAGAATTCTTGACAGTTTAAACATTTAGTTTGTTTCGTATTACCACTTTAAAGAAGAAATTTGCCCCCTTCTTTAAAGTAATGCTACAACACCATGATTACTTTATTATAAGTTCTTTTCCCTTTACTTCTGATACCTAGTTTTGATAAATGGAGATCTTGAGCCTGGATGCAACCACCATTGGCTCAGCTACAACCACCTGGATTCAAAACCACTGCAAAAAGTTACCTTTCTCTCCATTGTAAGTGCAAATACAGGGAATTTTTTCTGGTGGGTTCCATAACCTAATAGTGCCATCTGCTGAACAAGAGAGTAAGTGATTCTTTACACCGCTGTAAGCAAGACCCCAGACTGCATCTGTGTGAGCAAGTAATGTGCCAGCTAGAACGTTTGGCTCTGGAAAAAAAGTTCAAAAATTAAACCTTTTTAGTGAAGAACCATTAAATAAGTATTTCTTGTACCTCAACAGAAATTAAATTCCACATAAAACAGTTGTATGTCCCCCTGCCCTTCCTGTTTAAGGAACAGCTAGAATATTACATAGGTCATTTTGCACAACCACTGCCATTTGTCTCAAATAACCACAACCAAATAGGAACAAAGAAAAACTCAAACCAAAAAGCCATACCAAAAAATCTCCCCAAAATCAAACCAAAGCCGCCAACCAAAAAAAAACCCTCAAACAACTATGCCCCTTTTTCCTGAATTATACACCTCCTCTCTTGCTTCTTCCTTCCAAATTCACCTTAAAGATGCTTGCTCAAAGCCTTTCCTCTGTACAACACACAAACACCTAACAAAATCAACTTTCCATTTAAACACTGACACTTAATGCTGTTTTTACTAAGCATAATCTGCTGACAGAAGGGCATGGTCTCTCCAGCATGCTAATAATTAAAACAAGGCAATTTCTCTTGTGGAACAGGGAACTTTATTTTCATCTCCCAGACACTACGTAGTTGTTATTTATAGAGGGTTTTTCCATCTATTCTCTAGTAGGCTTTGTGTAGAGAAGTGAATGAAAAAGCCAAATGGAGAGACAAAGCCAAGTAAATCACTACAATTTAGTGTTGCAGAAAATTAAAAACAAGTTGGTCTTGCAACCCAAAGCACTGCAAACAAGCTTTAGGGAAGAAAAACAGCCTATAAGGGCTCTCTCTTTTAAAAATAACTTTGTAACTTGAGTAGAGGAAGCTTTGTCAGAGGACTAAGAAAATTAAACCAATAACCTACCCACATGAACAAATTGGACCATTTTTCGTGATTAGACTATACTGAATGTGTTTTTAGCAGAGAGGCACAATTTGAGCTATGTACTGGTTTTAAGGAACAGGGTGCATTTGCCTGAATCAGTGCAAGACAGCACCCATCCCTCCTCATCTCACTGCCAGAGATGATGCAGCCCAAGTGCTGTATCAGCTCACTCATTACACTGGCACGAGAATTCTTGACTCTGTCCCACTAAAACTGCAGTGGAACTGTGCCCTTAGAATTAAATCAAACATGGGACACAGAATCTGAGTACACTTATCTTTCCAGTAAATTTCTAACAGAAGAAATAAACAGTAATTCAAAAGCTGGAATTTTGGTTCAAAAATTTCTGATTCTCAAAAATTAAGTTACAATTATTTTTTCTTTACTGTATAAATCTCAGGAATTGCTAAATCTCCCTATTACAGTTCTATACAAAGTACATCACCTATACAAGTGGGAATAACTAACGTTTACCACATATAAGATGTTGAAAACACACTGTAGCTGATAAATAGCAGTTACATTTCACAAAAACTCTAGAAAGCAGATTAACAGCTAGCAGAAAATGTTGAAGACTGGTCATTAAGTTGTTTACCTTTTAAAAGGTACTTACCATAGGTATCATATGGATCCACATTAGGGCTAGGCATGTTCCACCACTGGATGGTTGCATCAATACCACCACTGAAACACTGTTCTCCATTGGAACTAACTGCCAGTGACAACACAGGTCCACTATTGGGAGACAAAGAAAAAGAAGCTGACCAATACTGCCTACAGAACAGAAATGAAGATTTGGCCATCTATTTTCAAATAACATTTGGATTGGATTTCATGGTTAAACCCCCCCTCAAACTCCATAGAAACAATTCTGTTAAAAACTTCTTGAAGTCTCAACAAGTGATATCAATCTTCGTTAAAATAACCATAATAAATTAACTAGAACTATCCAAATTCAAGCAATTCAAAGAACAGCACCTTATTTCTCAGAAGCAACAGCAACTACACCTAGAAATGGTGAGTTTTTACAGTGCACCTATGCCAATTCAATAGCTGTGCTGAAACAGGTGGCTGCAGCCCCCTTCCCCTCAAACTCTTTTCTCATCCTACCTTTAGGAACTGATAGCAAACTATGTCCCAGTAAACTGGTTCAGAAAAAAAATCCTAGAAATTGTACCTTTTGGCCAAGGCTGGGCTTTTACTGGTTTAATGACTTCAACCTGTTTGCTATGATTCCAGACAAGCACTAGTTGTAGCCCACAGGAAGAAGTAGGTTTACTCCTCTGGACACAGTACTAAGTCAGGTATAACTGTATTGTAAAGCCATTTCCCCCAAATCAGATGCCTGGCTCATTTGACAGGCCACACTCGTAGTATAAAGCAGTGCAGATAAACAAACTAGAGTTACATATTTGAAGATGTTGAAAAGGAAGACTATTGGTTGAATAGACCTATATATTTGGCAAAGTGAAGATGGGCTGAGAGGGAATGCAGTTCAGTCCCTGTCAGAGGGCAAAAATAGTAGAATTAGTTCCATCTTATTGGAAGTCATAGGGTGGGAACTAGTCTTGCATCAAAACTTCCCCAAACCTTTCCTTTAGATATTCGGTAAAAAATACACAAGTAATAGTGCAAATTTAGACAAAGAGATCTGAGGGAGAACTCAATTGGTCAGCAACCCTCTATCATTCACAAGAACACTTACATTTCAACATGAGGATAAATGAGTCACCCAGTCCTAAAGAAGAATGTTTTATGCTTTAGCTAATAAATGCATAAATAAGACATTAAGTTCTATTAAGTGGCATAAGGAAGGAGGAGGATGACAGTGTGTGTAGATTTCCTAATACAAACTACGAACTTCTCTTCTTCCTTGTTGAGGCCAGCACAGGAAGTGCTACTCACTTTCAGGATTATCAAAGAGCTCTTGTGAAGCTTACCTGCTAACTGGGTTGGAGACTGGATCTTTACTTATGTAAGCAAGGCACACTCAAAACTACGCTGACTGGCTAGTGGCTGTGCATTTTTGCTTCGTATTGAAAGCAAGCAGAATTCAGAATAAGCAACTGAAAATCAGGCAGTAATAAAGCAGTTAACACAAGGTGAAAAATCACAGACTCAAACCTGTATCTGAAGATACTAGCTAAGGCTAACAACTTCTAACCTTATTTATCTTCTCCACATATTATACATAAAATCCACAGTCCACAACATGTCTCAGGTGATTTCTTTATCATCTTCTATGAGCTCTCCTTTCAACTGTAACTAATCATATTTGCCACTTTCTGCTCCTCTTGTGTTATCTTGGACTAAGCAGTTCATGGCAGGGACTCAGTTTTACAAAGCATAATGGACCTTGTCTGTACAAGGTAAAAATGGCATAGAGCTGTGGCTTTTACACTGAAGTTTCTTATGAATGGATGAGATAATAACAATGTGTTTATCAGTCATTGATACTTACATGTGGGCCCTAAATGTGTAGATGGGTTCTACATCTAAAGAGGCACTCCTGAAAGAGAAAGAAAAGTTATTACACTACATGAAATCTCTACTGAAAAACTCTGAAAACGTAAGAGTTTAACACATTTCAAAGGCATTTAAAACACAACTGAGGTTTTATAGAAACCCATATACTTGCTTTTTGGCAGGAACCGTTTTCTGCAAATTCCAGAGTTTTAGAGTATGGTCCTCAGAGGCTGTAACCAGCACAGGCTCTACAGGATGAAAAGCTAAAGCTCGCACTCCATCAAAATGACTGCGTAGCGTATACTTAGGGTTCCATGTCTTTCGGAAGGCATCTTTATTAGCTGGCAACTAAAAAGAAGAAAAGGAAACAAGTAATTTTATCTTGGATTTAAAAGTAGGTCGTTTATATACCTCCCCATATTTCTGGAAAACAGGCTACGCTTGATTCATGTTCAATCTTAAATTTGAATAATTAAAATTAATTTCTTATT